TGTGCCTCGTGCCTCGTGCCTTGTGCTCTACTCTCTTGTGCCTCGTGCCTTGTGCCTTGTGCCTTGTGCCTCGTGCCTCGTGCCTTGTGCCTCGTGCCTTGTGCCTCGTGCCTTGTGCCTTGTGCCTTGTGCTTCGTGCGCTCTGTTCTGTTATGTTGCCCCCCCCCCCCCGTCCCCTGGACAGGAGTGTAGGGGTGACAGGTATGGGGGTGCTCCGTGTGCGTCGTCCCTTCCTCCTCCTTCGTCTCCCACTGCTGCAGCTGCCGCTGAGGGGGGTGGAGGTGTGGGAGCCGAAGGGAGTGGCGCTAGGGGGGTGATGTGGGAGTGGAGCTAGAGGTGAAACAGGGGATGTGTGTAGGGGGGTGTGGGACAGTTGGAGGAGGCTGCAGCACCTGTAGTCCGGGGCGCACTGTCCTGGTAGCTCAGAGAGCCTGCTGCGCCTGTGTGTCTGCAGCTTCAGTCGTCGTCTCCAATCTTCTCTCCCTTCACAGTTCCTCCTCCTCCTCACTTGCCCTCTGTGATAGCCTCTAGCTTTGCTGATAATTGTGAACTTTTGATGTGACTGCTGATTGTGCTGATTACACCCCACTTTGACTATGGGGGTGTGTCAGATTATGTTATTTGTCTAGCCTGCAGTGGGGTGCTCAATAGTGAGTACAACCCCTTTAGGGTTTCCTATTTGTACCAACCTGCTTGCTAGTTCAACCATCCTCCATTCTCTCTTCCCCAACTCTCCTTCGCATACCCAAAACCCTAGTCCTAGGGCACAACCTCCTAACTCTTAGTGTGGGCCTAGGCTACTCAGCCTAGGCCCCACTCCTATTGTTTCTAACAAAACTTTGACAGTATCAAGTTTTTTCGTGTCAATCTCAACTCTAGCATCCGAAACGACGTGGCCAAAAAAAATCTAAACTGACCTAAAACAACTCGCAGTTGGAACCCTTCGTCAGCAGCCGATGCTCGTCTAAATGTTGTTGCTAGTAGAGATTACGGATAGAGTCTAGGATGATTAGGGGCCGAAATATAAAAAAATCGTTGACTAAGTTTCAAGACAGAAAAGTCGTCATCACAAGAAACGCCGTTGACGAAAAACACACCGTTAGAACTTCACCAAAACCACCTATGTTGTAGCACTTATCCTTGGCTACAAATCGCAATTTGAAACGCAATATAAAGGTGAAGTAAAACTCGAGTTATTAATTTCGGTGCACTAGGGGGTATGCTGGAGCTGAAACTTAACTCAATCTCAATTAGTTCGACCAAGAACCACACAAGGAATACGAGTAGCAAGAAACCAGGTAGGAGGGGATGAGGAGGACAAGAAGGAAGGTCCTTAGAGAGTCCCCAACCAAGGAAAATCCATAAGCACACAATATTCCCTCCCTAAAGTTACCCCACTTTGTCCTTTGTCTTTTTCCCAACCCATGCCATCCACCTCACCCAACTTGGCCACACTTGCCAGCCTGGTTTGGCTTCTCCCAACCACTTGGCAGTAACTGCAGTGATGGTGACGAATCTTCCCAACCCCCAATGGTCTATTCCCGATATAGGCGGTGTTCGCCAGGACATGACTAATTGAAAAAAAACAGACGGCATCGGAATGGCAATGGAATCAGGAACCGGGGGCGGAACCCGCCAAATAGGTTTGGTCAAAAAGCCACTTAGCAAAACTTCGGGCCCTGAAAAAGGATATATGGCAACCGCATCAGGAACTCCCATCCCACCTTCCCCCCGCAGGCACGATCCCCAATACCGTCGCCATCCCATCGCGATTCGCCTTGAAGGGGGGAATGGCGATGGCACGGCATCGGGTGGGATGTTTGCTCGGGGACGAAATTTCGTCCCCATTTCCAGATGCCGTCACGACGTTCGAAATGGAGGAAAATTAAGGGCGTTCGCCAGGCCCTCAAATTTCCACTTGGTTCGGACGGCATAAGAGGTTCGGCCGGTATTTTTTACGGGCTGACCTTGTTACTATTGAATCACTTAGTTCCTACTGCTGATGGTTCTACAATTGCTGAAACAACTCTTCTCGGGGTCACCTCCGAGGGTCCTTGGGTGCCAGACCAAAGTCAGCCCCAATCCAAGGGTCCGAGTTTGTTGAAAGAGCGATTCAGTAGAGTAAAGTTACAGCAGTGGAAGCTCTTGTTACGGCGTGGGCAAAGAGTCCGTCAATAGTGAACGTCAAATCTTAGAGCAGCGTGCCAGAGTAAATGTGTGGCAGAGTGTTTTTCATAATTCAAAGCATATATATTTGTAGTCCCTAGGCTGTTCCTAATGCTAACTATCTAGCACCTCTAAACAGATCCTATTGTTAACGCAGCGCGAGCATTTTGTGTTTTGGTAAAAACATTACGTGACTTGGCGGGTTGGCGCCTCGCCAGCGAGACATTCAAAAAATGCTCGCGCCAAGCCTTTTTTTGACGGCCACGATTCGGGAGGGAAAGTTTGCGCCATTTTGATAACGGCTCGGATCAATCCATTCAGACGGTATTCGAAAAGTCAAGTTCGGAACTCCACTCGCGAGCTGAGTTGGCAGAAGACTACTCGCCACTGTAAATTGTCGAGCTGAAATCTTGAACTTCGAAATAATGTTTTGAGCAGAATCAGCTGCTCTTATTGGTCGAAGCAGAAAAGCGTTTTGAACCCTTGATTATGGTAGATCCGCTTCACCGTTTCAGCTGCTACTTGAGAATGGAATTGTGCACTCCTCCAGCAAACCGGTAGATTGATATAAAAAATGTTAATTCTGTATTAACAGACCATGCCGACGGAGCTTAACGAACCCTAACTGACGGCATCAGAAAGGCGTGACTGACCTTCTTGATGCCGTCGTTTTTGCTTTCAATAGTGCTGGCGAACACCGCCATAGAGTTCACCCCACAAATTCCCAAAGTTGCCGCTATGAAATGTGAAAAGCATACGAACTTCAACCGTTCGTAACTTTCTCGTTCGTGCTCCGATCGCGACGATTCTTGGTTCGTCGGAAAGCTCTTGAGTAGAGAAGTCAATTCAAAGATCTTCACAGACAAAAAAAAGTTCACACACTCTCACAACATCCAAACAAGCCAAACACAATTTCTTGCACACGCACACACCACACATGCGAGGTAGAATAATATGATGAGAGGCAGAGAGACGTTAATGCATATGATTGCATCACACAACAAACTCCCCCTCTGGCTGCCAACCATCATCCCACATGCTTCAGCTCAAGCATGCATTCTCAATGCACACTCATCCCAGCAAGTTTCATGCCCTTCCAACAATCTTCCAACACTCATCTCAATAGACAATCATCTCCTTCCAACATCCCACTTCCAACATCCCTATTTTGCTTAAATCTGCAGCATCGCTCTTGAGCATCTCTCTCAAAGCACTATGCTCCAAACTGTCTCAACGCAGCCCCATAGCAGTAGGCTATCTCATCCTCATCCATCTGCTGAGCCACACTCCCAGCCGGTACCACCTTTGGTGTGCCAGGACTCGGATAGGTAAGTCTGCTAGGAGGGCGCACATCCCTCCTAGGATGCTCAGGTGGGTGTGGGGCACATGGTGGAGCACGGCGCACCATCACCCTGACTCAGTCACACATGGTGCAGCAGGTTCTCCAGCGCTTCCGCTTCACGTACTCCTCGCCTCAGTCCACTCCTCTGCCTACCGGTCACTCGCTCTCAGCTCTGCCTTCGGATGAGTCCGTAGAGCCGAGTGGCCCGTATCCAGAGCTTGTGGGCTGCCTCATGTACCTGATGACCTGCACTCGACCTGACCTTGCATACCCTCTTAGCATCCTAGCACGCTATGTCGCTCCTGGCCGTCACCGGAAGGAGCACATGGATGCTGCTAAGAGGGTGTTGCGCTACTTGTGCAGTACGTCGGGCATGGGGCTTGTGCTTGGAGGGCGAGACCGGGTTGTTCTCACAGGGCACTCAGACGCTTCTTGGGCAGACGACCAGGCTACTCAGCGGTCGTCCCAGGGTTACACCTTCAGCCTTGGCTCTGGCTCAGTTTCTTGGCGTTCTACTCGCTCTTCTTCTGTTCTCAGCTCCAGTTGTGAGGCTGAGATCTACGCCACAGCCATGGCTGCTCAGGAACTACGCTGGCTGACCTACCTGCTGACCGACCTCGGAGAGCGGCCTCGTTCTCCTCCAGTGCTGTACGTCGACAACAAGGCTGCCATTGCCTTGTGTGAGGAGCACAGACTGGAGCACAGAACGAAGCACATCGCTCTGCGGTACTTCCTTGCTCGAGAGCTGCAGCAGCGTGGTCAGCTTTGTCTGCGTTACGTGGCCACGGAGGCCAACACTGCTGATGTGTTCACCAAGGCGCTTCAGCCTTGTGACCATCAGCGCTTTTGCACTCTACTAGGCCTTGTACCTACTGGGCCTCACTTGCTTACCTCTTGACCTTGCTTGTACTGTGATCACTATATATATATGCCTACTTGTTTACTTTTGCTAGGTTGTGATCACTGTATCTCTTGCTTTGTTATAAACCTGCATGTGAACTGGTCTTGAGACCACTTGCTTGTGCTCGGAATTTGTGTGGAATCCTTGAGATCCACCCTGAGCTTGCTTTACTTTGCTTTGACTGGTCTTGTGACCCTGTGGTTGTCTCCCACTGCGCCTATGGGGGTGTGTCAAACATTGCATGTTTATATTGTCTAGGCTGTAGTGGGTTACACCTTAGGGGGTACACAAAGTTAGGGTTTACTACTTGTACCAAACTCTGTTCTAGTTCATCCATTCCTGCTCAGTTATTTCTGACATGAAGTTGCTGCTGGGCTCGACATCACGCCGTCGACCGGAGCAGACCCGCCGTGTGTCTCGTGCGTCGGAGGAAAGCTGGCGCGGCACACCTTCCCTGACAAGGGCTCGGACGCCGAAGAAGCGTTGGCTGTCGTGCACATTGACTTGTGCGGGCCATTCCGAGTGGCTGCCAAGGATGGCAGCTTGTACTTCCTGCTGCTGAAGGATCGCCACACTCGATTCGTGTGGGCTATGCCATTCGTTAAGAAGAGTGACGTGCTGCGGGAGTTCGAGAAGTGGCTGGTGCTGGTGGAACGGCAGACGAAGAAGTCGGTACTGTCGCTCCGCTCTGATCGGGGAGGGGAGTTCCTCGGACGGGATTTCACCAACTTCGTCGACGGGAAGGGCATCGTCCACGATCTGACGTGCCCCTACACTCCGCAGCAGAATGGCATGGCTGAGCGGGAGATGCGCACGGTCGTCGAGTCCGTGCGGACGATGCTGCTGCACATGGGCGTACAGCACCACTGGTGGCACCTCGCTCTTCGACAGGCTGTCTGGGTGCGCAACTGCTTGGAGCGGTCGACGACGCCGCCGGGGACGACTCCGTACCAGCTGCTGACCGGGACGAAGCCCGACCTCACGCTGGCGCGGGTGTGGGGCTGCATGGTGCAGTTCATGGTTCCTGAGCAGCAGCGCGGTGGGAAGCTGGCACCGAAGGCTCGCTGGGGGCTTCACTTGGGAGTGTCGCCGGAGAGCAAGGGCTGGGAGGTGCTGGACTTGACCGACAACAAGGTGGTCACATCCGTCGAGGTGATCTTCTACGAGATGCTGTCGCTGGAGGTGTGGAAGGCGAAGTATGGGCCGGCGTCGGGGCGGACGCAGGCGCACCCGCCGACGGACACCTCGACGGCGCCGGACCGACTGCTCGCCGAACTCGACGAGCCTGCTGATGAGGACGTTGTGGAGGTTCTTCCACCTCCCCCTGTTCTTGCTCCTCCCTCCCCCGTCGCAGATCGGCCTGTGTCGACGCCTGAGTCGGCCACCGGCGATGAGGGGAGCCTTGAGGCGTCGCCTGTGGCGCCGGCCAGTGGCATCGCCGGCGGTCGACAAGGCGCCAAGCTCGTCGACCAGGGCCGGAAGTCGACGACAGGGGAGCAGCAGACAGGGGAGCCGGTCGAACAGGAGGCAGCATCGAGGGGGCAGTCGACAGGGGAGCAGCAGCCGGGGCGGTCGACAGGGGAGCTGTCGAAGTCAGCAGCAGACGAGCAGCCGGTCGAAGAGTCGAAGCAGCTGGTCGACGACGAGGCCGTCGACGAGGAAGGGGAGCTGTCAGCGGGAGAGGAGTCCACCGACAGCGACGTGGTGGAGGTTCCGGTCAAGCAGCCTGCGCCGGAGCTGCGACGGTCTGGTCGAGCTCGGCGGCTGCCGGAGAAGCTGAGCTACCATGCCCACGCCTGCCTGCCACCAACTGCCTTCACCACGGTGTACGACGAGGTCGACGACGACCTGTTGTACGACGACGCCGAGGAGGATGACGATCTGCAGGATCTCGACCCCGACGTGCATGCCGACCCCGAACATCGCTGGGACATCTCGACGATGACGGTGAAGGAGGCGCTGGCGAGCTGGAAGGGCCCGGCGGTGAAGGCCGCCATGGAAGAAGAAATCCGCAGCCTCATCGGCATGGGCACTTGGGAGCTGGTCGAACGCCCACGCGGAGTGAACATCATGAAGAACCGGTGGGTGCTGACGACCAAGTACCGCATCGACGACACCGTCGAGCGCGAGAAGGCAAGGCTGGTCGTGAAGGGCTTCACGCAGGTGTACGGCGCCGACTACGACGAGACGTATGCGCCGGTGAGCAGCTACGTCACGCTGAGGATCTTCCTCAGCATCGTCGCCGTCCTCGACCTCAACCTGATGCAGCTCGACATGAAGAACGCTTTCCTGCAGAGTAAGCTCGACAGGGTGCTCTACATGTACCAGCCGGACAAGTTCGACGATGGGACCGGCCGGGTGTGTAAGCTGCTGAAGAGCCTCTACGAGCTGAAGCAGTCGCCGCTGCTGTGGTACAGGGCTCTCGACGGAGTGCTGCTGGGGGCTGGATGGAAGAAGAGCCAGGTCGACGAGGCGCTCTACTTCAAGTCCGGCGACGACGGAGTGACCTGCTGGGTGCTGGTCTACGTCGATGACCTGCTCGCCGCCAGCAGCAGCACCGCGATGCTGAAGGAGCTGAAGGAGCTGCTGGAGTCCGCCTTCGAGCTGCGTGAGATCTCGCCGGTGGTGAAGTACCTTGGGCTGGAAATCGTTCGCGACAGGTCGGCAAGGAAGCTGTGGCTGCACCAACAAAACTACGCCGACAAGCTGTGTAGGCGCTTCATCGACGAGGAGCAAGGCGGGCGCATCCCGAAGACGCCGGTCTCGGTCGACGCCTACGCTGAGCTGACGTTCGACGACGAGGAGGCCCAGGAACGCGAGGAGGAGGAGTACCGGCAGAAAGTCGGCTCGCTGCAGTTCGCGGCGACAACGACGAGGCCGGACATCGCTTTCGCCTGCAGCAAGCTAGGGAGCGGCCTCACGGTGAGGAGCGACCAGCATTGGCGCGAGGTCGACCGCTGCCTCGCCTACGTCGCCGACACCCGCGACACCGCCTTGGAGTTCGGCGGTGGACCAGAGTCGCTGGAGCTGATCGGCTACGTGGATGCCGACGACGCGGGCGACAAGCAGAAGCGGACGAGCACGGGCGGCTACGTGTTCGTCTTCGGAGGGGCCGCGGTCTCCTGGTCGAGCCAGCGCATCAAGTGCGCGACGCTCTCCTCGACCGAGTCGGAGTACGTCGCGGCCACGGACGCCGGCAAGGAGGGGCGTCGACTTCGCTTCCTCCTTGCAGAGTTCAAGCTGCTCGACCCTGGGAAGCCGACTGTCCTTCGCGTGGACAACAAGTCGGCGATCACGGTCGCTGAGGGCATGGGGTTGACGGGCAACCTCAAGCACATGGAGCGACGCTACGCCTGGCTGCAGCACATGGTGAGGCGCGGGAAGTTTGTGCTGAAGTACATCCCGACCACCGAGCAGCCGGCGGACTTCCTGACGAAGGCGCTGCATTTTCCGGCTTTCAACCGGTGCTCTGTCGCCATCGGCCAAGTTCGCCTAGCCGATGTCGGCGACGGCGACGATGAGGTGCAGCAGTAGGTGCCGTGCCCTTCTGCACGGCTGGTGCGGTGACGGCGTGCTGTGTGTGGGGTGCACGCCGACGACGAGTTTTCTCCGTGAAGTACCGTCGTGTGGGCGGGAGGCCCAAGCGTGAGCGCGGCAGGGGAGTGTTAACGGGAATGGAGTGTTGGCCCCGCCCTCGCTTGGGCAACGCCGACGACTTGGTCGGATGTACGGGAGTAGCAGCCGACCGTTCACAGTGGGAGAGCTGCTCGACAGGCTACGTCGAGCTGCAGGGGACCGCTGTGGTGTTGCTGTCGACCAGGGAGCTCGACAGCTGCAACTGACTGGCCTGGGCGACGGGTGGGCCGTCCGGGAGGTCGACGGAGCATCCCGTCGACCTACAGCTCGACGGGGAGGTCTCTGGAGCATCCCGTCGAACTGCAGCTCGACCGGGAGGTCGACGGAGCAGTTCTGGTCGACGGAAGGGGTCCGTCGACCAGGGGGTAGCTCGAAGGGAGTTGTGGTCGACCAGAGGCACCTGGTGGTCGACCAGAGGCAGTGGTGGTCGACCGGAAGCACCTGGTGGTGTCCGGGTCGACCGGGTAACCTGCTCGACGAGTTCTGCGGAGGCACGCGAACGTCGTCGAGGTCGCGATGGCGAAGGCGACTGCGGGCTGGTATCCCGAAGTCGATGTGGCTCGTCAATCGCAGACAATAGCCGACGGATGCACAACGAAGCAAGTCGGGCCAATCGTCTGCGCGCACCTGTGAGCATGCGCACTGCTGTCTTCTACGGGGCAACGCTGGACAGCCGCACAGCTGCAGCGTTGGCACACCGTCGACCTGCAGTGTTGGCAGGTCGCTCTTCTGCAGTGCTGGCGCGGCTCCTCTACGCAACGCTGGCAGGCGGTCGACCATGCAGTGCTGGCGGTCGACCAGGCTAGCTGCAGAGTTGCTAGGTGCCTGATGTAGTCATTCTGTCATTGCTTGTTGAATGATTCTGTATTCTCAATCTTTGCTAGTGGAAACTCTTGCCAATTTCTCCCGTGAATGTGCAAGTGCTAAGGAACCAAGCAAAGCTACGATCACTCCTAGTAGTTCGTGCCAACCCCCGTAGTCTAGCTCACTACCGTTGTAGAGTGAATCTCCGCAGCGGGATCAGCTAGGAAATTGTGTATAAATGAACGTGTTCAAATATGATCGCCAATTATTAATGATTGTGCTTGATTGGACGTGCAATGGCCACAATAGCACCACGCATAAATCTTGACCAATCATGCGCGGTCGTTATTGCTGTGACGGATCTTTTCGGGTCAATAGAAGTATATCATCGCGGTGCAATATGCTCGATCGCTGATTGGTTTGGAATTTGGTCGCGCATTAGCTCGAAATTGGTCGCACAAACACTATTGTTCGGAAAATCTGTCGGTTTCCTGTACAGTGGGCGGGCCACGTTCGCGCCCGCCACTCTGGCGAAAATTTCGGGTGGTCAATGGTTATGTACACATATGCGGGATACCCCTCGCACGAATGGGGAATTTCGGGGCTACAAAGCCCCGTAGGGTAATGCGCCGAAGAAAAAAAAGCCAGCTAGAATCCCCTGGCGTGGCCACTCGAGTCATTATCACCAAATTTGGTGGCCACTCGAGTCATTCGTGGCCACGCGAGGGATGGTGAATCACCTTATTGGCCACTGGAGTCATTCTCTCGTGTCCGCTTCACCTCGAAATCAGGGCCGAGAGGAAGGCCGATGCCCCAGCGTCGTCAGCCTGGGCACACGAGCGAGGCCAGCCTGGAACTGCCCTGCCAACCGCTTCGCTTGGCCAGGAATCCGAGGCCTGGCCCTTCGGCTCCTGACCGGAACGCCGGGCCTCGGCTGGCTCTGCTTCGAATCGAATGACGCAGTTGGGTGGGGAACTGGCTTCATCGGCTCACTGAGGCTTCACCAGGGCCCTGTTCGGCAGGAGTTATGGGCGTTATGGGCGTTAAAAACCCGCTGGCCCAAACGCAGGCTCGGGAACTGGGAGGATTGCTTGGCGATATAGAAAATCATGTGAACACCGTTCGGCTGGCGTCAAAGGTGTTAAAACCACGCCACGTAAAGGTTTGTAGTTTTGCAGCACCTTCGTGAAATCACATGATTGGTGTGTCTCAGGAGCCAGTCGCATATGATTGGCCGCATCACCAATCCCCCGCATGGTGCAAGCTCTCGATGGCGCACCAGGGGGCGGATCAGTGATCCGCCCTTTTGCCCGTGGAAGTGATTTCCAGGAACCTACGTTTGGCAAAAACGCCAGCAATACAAGGGCCGTTCGGCAGGCATTTTAACACCCTCAGGTTCGGCATGATAACGCCTATCTCGAACCTTGATAACCCGTAGTTCGCTTATCGTTTTACTGTAGCTGGTCCCCGAGCCTGATATTAACGGCCTTTTTAACGCCTGCCGAACAGGGCCCACGACAATGTTCGGCAGCCACAGTGCAGCGAATTAGGGCCCTTACTTCGACTGCCCTCTACACACCACTCGATCAACTGCCAGGGCCGTTGGACAAATGCTGCCGATTGGGTTTAATTTGTGAGTGTGTGGACGTGAACAACCTGCCACGCGGTACAGTAGTATTCAGATGCGCGTCGTCCTTCATCCCTGTCCTTAACACTTGCTGGTTCGGATGTAGGTCGGTTCGTCTCGGTCTGCATATGTTCAAACCAGTTGCTCGATGGTACCGCAGACTTTTGACCAGCAATGCACTCAGTGGTGCACCAACAAACGAGTCGTTTTCCCACAGCCACTTATCGCTCCTGGGGGAAGCGGAGGGATGGATGTTTGATGCCGAACCTCATGCCCCAGCGACACCAAACCTCACAGTAACAAATCGTTCTGTAACATACCCAACCATTTTACGCCAAGCCGTCATACAATAGACGAGAGTTGCACAAGCACAAAGCCGCACAAAAAAAAGGCGAGGGCCTCGGACCGTACTACTTTCCACACCACAAACTCACATCAAGGTAACCAATGCTGAGGTTATCCCAATGTAATCGATGAGGTTACCTCGCTCGCAGGTAAGCGGTAACCTTAGCCCACAAGTAGTAATCTCAGGACGCGGTGAAAGTAGACGAGCGATCGTCAGTGGCGATCGGTGTGCGGCTCAGTTACCCTATTTACCCTAATGTAACCATTCTAGAGTTCACGTTTTGGCCAAATTTTGAGTTCTGTGTGTGAATGAGACTGATCGTTGATCGCTGGAGATCAGCGATAGGCGTCAATCAAGTGAACCGAGCCTACCTGGCGCGATTGATTCGGAAGCATGCAGTCGCCGAAGTTATCGCAGGGCCAGAAAAGGGAGTCGTCAGGGTTGTCGACAAGTCGCCGAAGTTATCGCAGGGCTTGGACGACGCTTGTAATGTTGGGCCTGTGTCGCAGGCAAGGCAGTGTTCTCGCATGTGGAACATAGGCCCAGTTCGATAGCGAGGGTGACCCATGCCAGAAATCATTGAGGTGACCTTGTTCCTTGGGCGAGAAACGGTTTGCGACCCCATGCGATGGTACATAATTCCCGCCAGCGCGAACGACACCCCTGCGAGCTCCACGGTTTCCCGCCAAACTGCTAAAAGTTAGCGGGAATCCTAACGAGGTATTTTGACACCACAGCGCGCAAAAACAGTAACTGCCGTGTAATGATTAGGGCCCCTCCCTAGTAAAACACCAGACCATTGTCGATGCGTTGCCAATGCTGCTTTTCAAATAAGTCGCCTCACTGCCAGACCAATGGGCTATTTAGGGATAGTCTAAACTAGTGGTTTCCCTATCTCTAACTGCCCAAAAGTAGGGTACAAAAAAAACAGAGCATGCCCAGCCGAATCAAAGCCTTCCCACTCTCGACACTTGCACGTTTCGCAGTCTCCCGCTACTTCAGTCTATTCCAGAGTCCTGCTCAATGCCGCGATTTACGAGTCCAGTGCCTAAGCGACATACACCTTAATCCCAGCCATAAATTCAGCACTACCAACTGCATCCCTTCTAGCCGCGATATTAATGGCGTGACCAGCGAAGATGATAAACCTTCGATCCAACAGTGCAAGGCGAGATACATATAACCTGCATATCTCCATGAGCAGGAAACGCGGTACGTTACGTTAGCTAGTCTCTTACTAGGTTGCTAAGTAGGGGCCCTGTGCGAAAATCCGCCAATCGTGCACGGTTGACGTCTTAGATTCAAATACATAGTCGGAAGCGCAGAATTTCGACTAGATACTACGACTTAGGCCCACTTACCTACTCCGGCCGCTAGATCCCACAACCGAATCCAGAAGCGGATAAAGTATGGAAACTGGAGACGATCAGCCCGTTACACAACCGCCCCTGGATATGTCCGCACGCGTTGGGTCAACAGGTACTCCTACTACGTTTGACCGAAATACGCAGCAGGAGGATCTTACCCAATACGCATGGAGTTACGTACCAGGCGGTCCAACGGAACTTAGAGCGTTGACTTCTCAAGAACAACCGCCATCTCTCCATGCGCCGGCCGAACCAGCCACTGTCGCTGAATCGCAAGGCCCTTCACACGCACCCCAGGCATCATTCGCCCACTCTACCCCATCCGGAAGTCAAGCACCCGCTAGAACCACCACCACAGGCACCAGAATCGTCGCCAGGAGGAATGACGACCAGACAGCTGACCTGCTGCACTGTGTCATAACTGCCATGACGGGATCAGGCCGGAACCCGACTGCGAAGGTACAATGCTGGCCCGACGTCCAACGTTTATGGAACCTAGAGCACGCAGAGTTGGGTTTCACATTGGAGCAGCTACGCCACCGGCTAAACACGGTAAAACAGTGGGTAAAGGACATCAAACAAATGCAGAGTTGGGTGCGCACGGGCGTCCACTGGAATCCGCGTGTTGGCTTCTTCGACCCTCGAACTATTGTGAGCCCACACATCTCCTACACCCCCTGCGCCTTCCCAAATTTTAGGGAACATAGTGACTACTATGGAAATGTGGAAACCCATCATCTACCGTCCCCTCTCCTTTACCCGCAGAAGAAGGATGTCAACGTCGAAGGGCACCCGCGCTGGCCTGACATGCGGAGATGGATAACCCATACGGCACCGTGGCTGACCCTGGCGGAGCAGGTAGTTTCCGGCTCGGGGTCTCGTGGTCAGTATGCAGTCACCACAGGTGACGGCAACCGAGAATATGAAGATGACCCTGGGGGCCATGATCTGTCCGGTGGACCAGTGTCTACAGGACCTGCCGCCAACGATCGTGGCCAGCAGCAGCGTCAGTTGAGCACGAGCCACACCAGTCCATTCCCCAACGCGCTTGCTGGACAGGTTCCCACAGCCGCAGCGACCTCATCACCTGCAAATGCAACACCCCCATCTCTTGGTGCTAGAGGGAGAGCATCCCCAGCTGCAGGAGATAACCCTATGGGGCCAACGCCCCTACCCCCACGACCCGTTACATCCACTGGGCCACTCCCCACTGCCAAAACAACCCCTTCCCCAGTTGTATCCTCGTCCCCCGCTAATGCAGCAGACCCGCGCGGTCCCATCTCCCCACTGCCAAGACCTTCTGCTCTGGTATCTCCTCATCCCGACTCAGCAACCCGTCCTGCCATAATTGCTAACGCGAGCATAGGCACCGACAGACCATCCCACCATCCCCCTTCACGCGATGATTCACCATTACCCGCAGCCCTTGCCGCAACCCCTCCCCCCTACATGTCGGCTGCAGCAACCCCCCCGTGCTCCCTGGCCCCTCGAATACAGCAGCAGCCAACAATTCACCAGTCTCTGCAACCGCAACAAACTGGCGCACACCAGCGGCACGAACCACCACCTTCTCACCAATATCCTCTCCATCTCCAGCCGCGGTGGCCTCGCCTGGGCGTGCTGCTGTGCCGAGCAGACGCCACCACGTAACCCCGCTCCAATATCGACGCCGTCTCCTGCTCGTGGATCTCAGGGGTCTGCGTTGCGGGAAGACAGGGCTGGAGGCATCTCGGGTTTAGGGGCCCGAGATACAGGCAGTGCTGGCACAAGGCGTCGCCTTAGTATGTCTGGGCCCGTTCAAGGATCTTGGGCCAGTGGTCGCAGCAGAGGGACCTTGGACGGTGAAAACATGGCAGCAATTGCGAGCGTGCTGCAACAGGGAGTCACCTTCAGGCAGAAAAGTGAGTTCTTAAACCCTTCAATACCCGTGTTGGTCCATTTCGTGTGTCGTTTTAAGAGCGTGCATCCATGCTCGTCTAGGGGGTTGTACTTTCATATGTGTTCCGCAAAAGCTATACTGCGCGCTCACTCCATGACTTCTGCCGCGTACCGTCACGGTTTGTTGCACACGGTGCTCAGTAAGGGTAGTTAGGTATGTTGCTTCCAAGGATACCACTTACCCCTCATGTTTCGGTACTTAAGCCCATTCTGAGCTCATGACGTCATGTCTCCTCCCGTGTTCCCTATTGAAGACACCCACTCAGATGATGCGAACATATCTCTGAAGAACGCCACAAGTATTATGACATCCATGGCGGATGTCTCTGCCCGGGACATACTCTATGTCATCCTACTATTTATTCGGAGCCGGTGGGATGCTGTGGCCTTTGAGGCGATGAATGACGAGCTACGTCGCCGCTATATTGCTGCAGTGACTTATGGATCCGAGTTCCCCGAGGCGGTCGACGATCCCGATTTTTCCTGGCATGGACGAGTGGGAGAACGGGCCGGAATGGTACAAGGCGGAGTGGAGCGACCCCGGGGAGAACAGGGAGCTAGCCTTGAAATAGAATCAGAGGAAGGAATGGACGGAATATGGGGTGGAATGGGAGCACGGAGAGGAATAGCTTCAGAGGGGTTTACAAGAGTAGGGGGAGGACTGCCAGCAGGGGTAGGGCTGGAAGCAAGAGGAGGGTTGTTAGCAGGAGGTTGGCCGGGAGCAGGAGGAGTAATGGGAGCAGGAGGAGGAATGGGAGCAGGACACGGAATGGGATCAGGGGGGAGAGGGAGAGCAGGGGGAGGAATGGGAGCAGGGGGGAGCGGGAGAGTAGGGGGAGGAATGGGAGCAGGGGTGGGAGTGGGAGCAGAGGGGGGGGGGAGAGAGGAGAGGGGGGAATGGGAGGAGGGGGTACAGTGGGAGCAAGGTCGGGGACGGGCGGACAAGGGGGGGTGGGTTTCGGTGGGGGAACGCCAGCAGGGGAACGACTGGCACATGGAGGAGGGCTGGGAGAGAGAGGACGGCTGGGAACAAGAGGCCTGGGAGCAGGTGGGGAAGTGGGAGCCGGGGGAATGCTGGAAGCTACATGGCTGGGGGCTAGAGGAGCCCTGGGACCAAGAGGTGGGCTAGTAGGAGGGGTCGGCATGGGCGCAAGGGAAGGACTGGGCGCAAGTGGAGGTTTGGGCGCATGGGGAGGAGGGGGCTCTGGAATGGGAATGGCTGTAGGGGGGGGAGTGGGCCAAGAGGACAGGCGGGGGGCAGAGGAAGTGCCGGAGGCAGAGGAAGTGCTGGGGGCAGAGGAAGGAGTGGGGGCAGACATTGGAGTTGGGGCAGACGAAGGAGTGGGGGCAGAGGTTGAGCTGTGCCACGAGAGTGCGCAGCGGCGGGGGACCACCATGTGATCAACAGGGGCAGGGGGGGGATAGGGGATATAGGGGGCACAGGGAGTAGAAAGAGCATTGTGGGTAGAGGTAGCGTAGGTTTCAGAGGGAGCGGCAGGCACAAGATGGGTAGAGAGAGAGAGCATAGGGAGCAACGTGTATAGATGAAGCGTGGGTAGCATTGAGGGCATAAAGAGCAGGGGGAATGGATAGGGCTGGTGTACGCTTGTTGAAAGAATCTAGACTGGAAGCGACCCAAGAAGAGGTAGCACTAGGGGGTGGTGAAAGCACTGGGAGTAATATTGGTAGAAGGATGGCGAGGGTGGACAGAGAGGAGAGAGTGCATGGGGGTTGCAGGATGGGACCATTGTTGGCAAGTGTAACTGATGAAGGAGTTGGCTTCCCGAGATCAGAAGGAACAGAGTGGGAAGAGAGCGCATACCGTCTGATGTGGGCGGGAAGGAAGCAGATGGAGCATATTGGGCAGAGAGCATACCGTCTGGCGTGGGCGGGAAGGACACAGATGGAGCATATTGGGCAGAGAGCATACCGTCTGACGTGGGCGGGAAGGAAGTAGATGGAGCATATTGGGCAGAGAGCATACCGTCTGACGTGGGCGGGAAGGAAGTAGATGGAGCATATTGGGCAGAGAGCATACCGTCTGACTCAATGTCTTCCGTCGATGTTTGGGGATATGGGGTCAGCATCACAGTGGTTGACAGGAATTCGGTCACAGGTGAGGCCTGCTTGTGCCCTGGCGGGTGAATTCAATGACTTTGAAACTTGATCCACTCCCCATGGTGTCACATTTGGCTAGCCCCATCACCAAATCTCCCTCTCGCAGCAATGGACGGTGAGGTTCGGGATGTTTGTGTTGGGGCATTTTCATGATAAGTTGCATCACCCTTTGTTTTCCTCCACAGATATAGTTGCCTCCCCATCGCCCTACTCAACCCTATGCCCATCTAATGTCCAGACATGGCAGCGCATAGGCAGTGCAGCGGAGCGGGTGCCGTACTGGGTGGCACTGGTGAAGCCCACACTGTACATTCTGGCCCACACTGTACATTCTGGCCCACACTGTACATTCTGGCCCACACTGTACATTCTGGCCCACACTGTACATTCTGGCCCACCCAGAGGCAACCAAGCCACACAAACAAATCAAGTACGCCCGACCTCCCTCTGGCCTCACCCACTGTCCCTATCGACCATCCTCCCTGCACTGCAATCAACCCCCCCTATCCACCGCTTTCTGTTGCAAGCTGATGCATTCTTCACCACATGCATCACGCCTGTGAGCATGCATGCGCCTGACCATGCCATGGTGCCCTCACCCCCCCGTATCACCCGCATGCTGGTCTGAGCAGCGCCATGGGGGCGGTGCATGTGCCCCCGCAGGACATAGCGATCATTGACTCATTGCCCTTGCTGCACGCGGTGCTCGACCTGCTGGGGTGTGTCGCCTCGCCTCCCATGCATCACAGCGCCACCACCTCATCTGTGTGCCATTAACGACTCTCGCAACGGCACCCTCAACTCCCTTGCGCTCTGCACCTCCAGGTGACCCTGTGCACCTCCAGGTGACCCCCTTCACGTGCTCTGCACCCAGAAAGCTCAATGTGTTGCCCAGGCCAATCTACATTCTTGGCTCATCTGCTCTCTGGTTCACACTTTCTACTTTCTATCTGCTCCCTTCCCTCTCATGCGCCCCCACCCGCTTCTCCCCCCTTTCTGTCCTCCTCCTTTCCCATGTATCTCTCCTCATCCATCTCTCCCCATCTCTCTCCATCTCTCGCCCCGTCTCTCTTTCCTCCCCCCTTTTTTACCCACTGGATCTCCTCTCCCCTGTCCCGCTTCAGACTCGCTCTCCCCCAATCCTGCCGCCTTTCAAGGACCTCATGGGCCATTTCCCAGAGCCTCTAAGTACGTCTCATACCCTTCTCAGCCAGGGCTATTCTCCTCTCAACCTCTCCTCTCTCCTCCGTTGCCATCCATTTCCAGCCAGTAGTCGTGGCACTGTTCCCCCCCACCCACCCACACACACAGAGAAAATAACGACTTTTCAGGTGATTTTGGAGGTGCACAAGAGATAATTTACCGCACCTCCTACCGCCCTCTTTCCCCCCCCCGTCCCTCCCCAGCCAGTGGGCGTGATGCTGTTCCCTTGCCAGAGCAAGAGCTAGTGGATCGGCTGGCACACGCGGAGAGCAGGGCAGCACAGCTGGCGGAGCAGGGCTATGGGGAGAGGCACACAGCATCTCTGCCGCACCTGCTCGCTTCCTTTTTCATTCAGGTTGCTGTGGGTTAGACGGGGGGTGGTGGTGGATTGGCTGGCACATGCGGGGAGCAGGGTAGCACAGCTGGCAGAGCAGGGCTATGGGAAGAGGAACACAGCGTCTCTGCCGCACCTGCTCGCTTCCTTCTTTGTTCGAACTATTGTGGGTTAGAGCCTGGGTGGTAGTGCTCTCAATGCAAGTGGGGTTCTTTCAAGGGGGGGCTGTTTACGAAGCAGTGGAGAGGAGAATGTACGGACGTTCCTAGCAGAAGGAGATGATAGCCACCATGCTGTTCTCCTCCCGTGCTTCCTGAATGTGATTCTATGCATACTGCACGTGTTCCCATGTTTCCTGTCCCTGCCTGGTGTCTGTCCTTTGTATTCTCCTCCTCGCTGTCTTCCCCTTTTGCCACAACCCATCGCCAAACTTCAGCACGGGAAGACCTCTGGGAGCACATGCTATGTGGCAGCGTGTACTGTTTGTTTAAGGCGCCAGGAGGACTGGAGTGTGTTGTTTTGTGAGTCATCTCTTGTCTTGTGTTGTTTTTTAATGTTCGCAGATGGCAGCACAGGAGGACCTCTGGACGCACTCGCTATGCGCCCGTGTGTACGAGGGCAAGTGGATAACGCGGGACTTCCCTCAGGAGAATCATGTCACCGTCATGGCTGTGAGTACCTTCCCTAAAGCCCATTAGCTTTATCTGCTCAGCGTCTTCTCAGCTTCTTCTCAGCTTCCTGCGCCCATTAGCTTTATGAGTCGACTCAAAAGTCAAATCATATCACCGTTGTGGCTGTGAGTACCTTTCTGGACCCATCGGCTTTATCTACTCAGCTTCTGCTACACCCCAGACCGGACTCACTGTGATGCTTTTGTTGTGGGTGGCTATTCCCTGCTCTGCTTGCCATGGGAATATTCAATGCCCATGGGTGTGCACTTTGCGCTCCAACGTGGGTATCATCATCTCAGCCGCCTTCTCCCTTCTCCCCTCTCGCGCCTTCCTTTCCCCCTCTTCCCCTCAATCCCTGCCAACCACCAGATAGAGGATTTCTACCACCGCGCGTCCAACTGTGCGCGCACCGTGCGCCCCAAGGAGTTCACCATCTTCTCAGCAGCCTTCTCCCGCGCTGCTCATGCGGTCATGGACGCTCCATGCCCCCCCTTCTCCCTCTCCTCCGCCTCCTCTCTCGCCGACCTCCTCTTCGGATTCTCCCCGGTTATCCAGAAGGAATCGGGTAAGGATGAGAGGAACAGGGGAGGGGTGGGCAGGCGGGGAAGGGACCGGGGGTGGGATGAGAGGGGGGAGAGGGAGGAGAGGAGGGAAAGAGAGGGCAGGCGGAGAGATCAGAAGCGAGGGAGGGATAGGAGTGATGATGGTGCTGGTGATGAAAGGCTGGGAGGGAATGGGGACCGATTTGCTAGAAGAGCGGGCGGAATGCGGGTGGGAGGGAGGCAAGGCAGAGGGGACGAGGATTGGTGGAATGGTGGGGAGAGGGGGATTGGAGCAGGTGCGGCGGACGATCGAGGTGTGGGGGATAGGTGGAGGGGTGTGGTGGAGGAGGAAGAGGATTGGAGGACGCAGGTTCTCCAAAGCCACCCTCTCCCCCTTCCCTCGTCCCCCCCCCGCCCCCCTCTCCTTCCCCCCGATTCCTCGTTTTCTCTCTCTCGCTATCCCTTTCCTCCTCTATCTATTTGCTTATATTTCTCTACTCTCCCTCTCGTTTCCTCCATCCCCCCTCTCTTCAATCACACATCGATTCACACCATTATATCGTTAACCTATCTCTACTGTCCCACACTTTCCTCCTGTTTTACAGATTACCATCGCTCGGCCAACATGCACCGGAGCGACAACCGCCGCGTCCCTGCCGCTGCCACTGCTGCACCCCTACACGGCGCATGGGCAGTGCGCCATGCCCCAGTTCACGATCATCACACTCCTACTCTCGGGACGTCAAATCTGTGGCCAACAACTCACGCTCCTCACGCATCCCACATTGCTGCGAGATCTTATGCGGTCCCTCACAACCTGCCAGCAGGTGCGGTGCTGCTGCAGCAACATGGGGTTGACACACGCCCAGGAGGCGGTTATCTCAATTCACAACAAACACTCCAGCATGGACACTTGCAGCAGCAGCAGCAGCAACAGACAGTACAGTATGGGCTACAGTTGCCGTTTCCCATGCATCAGCAGCGGTCAGGTCCAGTGCAGCAGTCGATTCAGTTTCGACAGCAGCTTGGCGCACTGCCCATGCAGGTTCTGGCAGCACAGGGGGTCGCATGGCTCCACCTTTAGATCACCGCAGCCGTTTTCTTCGACAGTAGCAGCAATTGTGAAACACTGGCCCAGTTTGTTATTGATCATTGTTGCAATTGTGATCTATCTATTAATGCAAAGGCGGGTTTGTTAATGGCACACACAAGATGTAGACAGTATTTGCTGGCTAATCTCTACTGGTAACGCCTGGACGTCTGGAGGCCCACAAAGCAGCGGCAATGTGATCACGTCTTGCACGGCCTTCATGCGCAGAGACTCCCAGTTCCATGGGCCTCCTAGCCGGGGGTCTTGCGTTGGCGGCAAAACTCTCCGCTGTGATATCCCCGAAGTCGTCTCCGCCAAACCGCTTCACAAGGTTATGAAGAATCATGCAGCAGATGACGATGTTACATTGAGTGGCGAAACGATATGGTCGCATGAACTTAAGGATCGGAAACCGGGCCTTTAGCTGACCAAACGCACACTCAATGTGGGAGCGCAATGACGAGTGCCACCTATTAAAAAGCTCCTGGTGATTGCGTGGCAGGAAGCTAGCATCCCTAAACTGCTGCAAATGATAAAGGGTCGTCCTGTAGGGTGTGAGACAGTTGGCGTCGTTACGGAAGCCCGAGTCGGCTAAGAGGTACTTATCGCGTGGAAGAGCAAAGCCACGGGCCACTGCGTCCGCCCATAAGGTTGCGTCATGCGTGGATCCTTCCCATCCCGCTAGGACGTATATGAAGTTGTCATGGAAATCTACTACGGCGAGGACGTTTTGCGAAACGTTTCCATGCCTATCAAAGAACGGGGCTTGGCGAGAAGCGCGAATGTGGGCAGGGATTAGCGTCCCGTCTACCGCTCCGATTGCGTTGCGAAAGAAGGCATACTCTGGTCGGAGGTCAAAGACATCTCCCTGGCTGTCCGTTGGTAGTCGAATGAATTCCTGCTGCAGCGCACATATCGCAGTGATCACAGCTCGTACACACAGCGATATCGTCGACCCAGAGCGTTGCCATCTCTCTTGCAGGACACGGTTTGGGGTTGTGTATCCAACCAATTGTAAGAAAATCATTAGCTGTTCGGAGGCCGTTACATCACGACCGTCTACAAGGAGGCCGCGGGTTACTAGTAACTCGTGTAACTTGCAGAATAAACGGGGCTCCAAGCGTAAACTTTCCCGCATGCGACCGGGATGACCGGAGAGTAACTCTTGCACATACATTCGTCCGCCTAATACGGAGGTATGCTTTGGAGTCCTGGATGGCTGTGACTCTGCATGCGTGGTCAGTAGTTGACGTAGAATCCCTTGTACCATTTCCTGGCCGACTATAAGAACCATCCTCCGTATGAACATAGATGCATGGGCGACTACTTCATCCGACTCTCTAACTAAAGATGGCCTTAAAGCGACGGTGCACATTTGCCACCCAAAACCCAGAACCCTGGCGAACTGTTACTGCAGATGAAAAGTGTCTGCACGAAATCCTGGTTTTCGCCAGCCAACACTTTCGCGCTGGCAAGCCTGGTTCAAAAAAAAAACTTCTGAACCCAACACTGCCAAAAGTTGCCCGTCGCTTTAAAGGGTCGAAATCCATAGTCGAAGTGTGTTTCTCGAATTAGGGTTTCCTTCCTACCTTTTGCGAATTAGAGTGACATTCAACGTGGTTGGGTTGTTTTTTTTTTTTTTTTTCCAATCCAGCGTTGTTCTTGTTTTTTTTTTTCGCCTTCAGCAAAAAGCCTTTGGGGGAACCCTCGTTGTGGTACAGTCCACTTCAAAGGGCCGTTGGGGTGGAGATTGTCGACCACCTGCGCGGTTGAATTCGGTGAAACAAGCCGGCATTGAGGCGGACAAATGATTACACTACCGGCCCTGAGGCCCAACTTGCAGTTTGTCGCGACCCTTAACCATTTGGGCGACAGGGCCAAACCAAATGGTTGCATCCTGGTAGGCCCAGGAGCTATCAAACTGGGCCATAGAACACCAATCTCGGATGCGATCGTTAGGGCGCGTCACATGTGCAACACCGCGGTAGATCGGCTCCAAACACCGAGAATGTGTGCATGGACTTGCGAAAAACGTAATTCAATCCGCAGGAGCAGTGTTGGCTGCTTCCCCGAGCCAAGTGGGACAAGACCAGGTTTGCAAGTTGGGGATCTCCATGCCAACTGTACACCCAGCGACTAGTGCAGGAGCCGTGCTTCGCTGGCGAGTCGCACAATTTCGCATGGCTTGTGACGAGAGAGAAATGTAAAGCTGCTTTGTCAAATGATGGCGACAAAGCAGGGTACGAAGTTACCACATCGAAAGTGGCCGACAGTATGCGACGGCGATCGATCGTGGCTGGAACTGGTGGGGCGATTTTGATTTCCGCTCTGTCAATCGCACGATCGATGTGGCAGTTTGAGCCATCCGATCAGGGATTTTATGCGTGTGCACGATTTTCGCGACATGCTTAACGACAACGGGATACATGTCTTTCACGAAATGGCGAATACACTGTAGATGCTTCATACCGATATTTCACGGGATCGGTGTTGGACATGTGACGCGTCCTTATAACAGAGCGATCGCCATGTTTCGCAAAACGATCAGAACACTCGATTGTGAAGATCGAATATATGCAGACGATCCCGCGATAATTGCACTTTCACCGCGTCCTCAGATGCGCCCCACAGGGTACACTCAACTTACGCGCAACTCATCCGCAACTCACCCGCTAGAAACCTCACGCCAAAAGGACCTCCCTTTGATTGGCGTTCGGGATGGAGGAGGTACCGATGTCGCGTCGACGTCCCGCGCGAAGAACTTTTCTTGAGACGTTTCAATTCAACCCACCCTGGCGATCGGATTCAATTCTAGCCGATGCTGCATCGGAAATTCAGAGCGCAAAATTCACTCCGAAATCGAGGGGGACCCCGAGATTACCCTCGCGGGGTTACCCACAAGTTCCCTGCAAGTGCCCCCGAGGATACCTCGAGCAATTGCAACGTCAGCAACTCTCGTAGAGTCCGTCGCGCACATTCGTAAGAAAAAAACTGACCAGTCAGGAGGCAGATCAGTTCGTTGGGATACCCCGAGGGTACCCACCTGTTTCTGAGGACGGTTCAGCACCAGTCAGAACCTCGCTTCACTTTTGCTGCCGAACCAGCCACGTTCGGAAATCCCACTTAGGAAGGTGCACTTTGACTTTCAACCTGCTGGAACAAAATATATTATTTTTGTTTCTTTTGTGATTCCGTCCTGTAATTGCATCACTCAATATATTGCATACAGTTGATGGGTTGGGTTACGTGGCACATTAGTGTTCACCAACCAATCAGAGCTCCTCGAGAGCAGCTTCCATTGCCTCTCCTCTCCTCTTCCATTGCACCTTCAGAATACTAATCCACCCTTCTACTTCTCAATCTGTCATTTCTGATTTCGTTTTCCAATCATGATACACACTAAGAGCAGCTATTACGAGGCCTACCTGCAGCGAACTTAGAATGACAAGTCGCTTCTCACAATTAGCGCTGGTGAGTTATTAGCGGTGGTCAGGCTTCGCGTTGAACGACAAGCTTCCTACGAGCGCACATGTTATTCGCGGTTTCCTTTCCAGGTTCTTTTCAGTTGTATTGCTCGTACTCGTGACGTTCGTTTTATTAGCGCGTATAATATTTGTTTAATCACTAATTGTTTTTGTTCAAATGCGGTAAATGCAGTGCGGCGTCAATGATCAATCATGAGCTACTCCCCCCGGGAGTCAATCAATCCCCCATGTGGTGCGCCACGAGTTCATGCAAGGTACGATAGTTGTGTGCGCTTACTGTTAAGCCGGCGCTAATGCGCTTAATTGTATAACGCACTCTCAAAGCCGCATCTAATCCGTGTCTTGTTCTAAATGTCGCGTTGCTTGCAGACTTCGGTGGGATCCTCTCACGCAGCTGCGAACGGTGCAATTTTGAGTGCATCGATTTCGAACCCCTGCTGGACTCTTAAGTGCACACTCTTTGCATGTCCGTGGAAGCACCATTATTCGTGAGGTAAGAATCAAGCAGTAAGAGTGTCACATTTACATGCCCTGTGTTGCTGCTGTGTCGTTTGTTGCTTTGGTGTGTTGCAGGCGCACAATAACATATGGCTCTTGAGCTGTGCACGTGGTCTGCATGTTAGACTTCGCAATTGCTAACATTTTGTTGCGATGTTAGAAAATTTTCAGGTGTGTAGATGTAATAGTGGTAGGGCTCTGCATATTGCTAGATTCATCAAGGAGCAAACATAATCATTTTAGCCATCGTGATTTAATAATGCTGTACAATGTAATGAAATTTCTTTCCAACGTTTCTGAAACTGGCTATATCGAAATGCATATTATTTTAGCACCCGTGAGTACACAATATTGTACAACGTAATGGAATTACTTTCCATCGTTCAAACTCTTATCATATGTTGGCGAAATTACTGTAGTGTTGGCTAGTGTACTGTAGTTACAATTTTGTGTTGTTGGCGAATTATTTCTCAGCGAGGATGCGGCTCGCTTGTGATTTGTTCCAAACGTCTGGGAGTGGTTGGAATGGGGTGTCTCGAAGGTTACGTGTAGGTCACCACCTGTGGGGGACCTCGGGGTGACCACGCGAAGTGGTTTTTGCCGAGGTGACCCGCGGGTCACCTAGACGAGGACCCCGGGGTATCCCGCCACGGGGTAAGCTGTGGGTAACCTGGGGGGAGGGTTTTGGCCCAAACTTTTTTGGGTCAGTGAGTTATTGTCTGGGTAGACAGCAGAACCTTCGTACTCGACGATGTGGGGTACCGCGTTTCCCGCTATTCTTGGAGGAACCATATTTTACGTAGCTAAACGTCTCGCGTTTCCGAGAAAGGCGTCGAGCCTTGAATGGGAGGGTGCTAGGAGGAAAGCACGACAGCCGCATAAAAGGGCTCCCTCGTTCTACGTGAGTTTTAAAAAAGTTTCTTTAAGTGACCAATGCACACGTCCCTTACAGAGTCCCTCTTATTGTAGGTGAGTCAGTCATCGTCCGGCCGCCCACAGGCGGCAGCTGAAAAACGTTGTTGCTACGCGTCGGCGGCATGCCAGCCATGAAATGGGACTTGTATCCAGGAATGTGGCGGCTGTCGATTGGTCCTGAGCTCCAATGAATCAGAGTGTGATAACGCCGCCCTGCTAATCAGGGCCAAACGGGGAGCGTTAGAGTTCCTAGCGGATCATTCCTCAGCGCGTGCCGCAGGCTTTACAAACAGCAACCTAGAGTCACTCTATCGAGGGTGCAAGTAGGTCATGTGTCAAGACTCACTTTCTCAATTCCGCCCCTCTTTTCTTCATCATCTCGTCATCCCCCCTATAAAGGACAACGCCGCTCCTCGTGACGTACTTGCTTTCAATGCTCCAGGGCCATGCATAGACCTGTTGAGAACGAGTTGATGGGCTGGCGTATAGTGTTTGCTCCATCCGCCTTATCATTGTTCCAAACTGTTCTCCGCTCATCCCTCGTCCTAGGCCTCGCACGGGGTTTGAAGAGTACATCATCAACGCACGGGGGGTTGTTCTCTCATAATAAGATGGCTTCCCAGAGACGGGCGGCTCAAGGGAGTGGTGGTGCGCCATACAGAAAATTCCCTTGGTTGTTTTTACCCTTCTCCATCCTCCCCTCCCACAGGCCTCACATGGGGTGACCTCGGTTGAAGAGTACATAATCAACGCGCGGGGGGTGGTTCTCTTCACCAAGCAATGGCTTCCCAGAGATGGGCCGTTGAGGGGAGTGGTGGTGGGCTGCCATGGGTATGGCGAGACGTGCACCTATATCTTTGAAGGTGATTTCTCACTGAGGGATGGGTTTGGGCACACGTTGGCAAACGGTTGGGAGAGTTTTGGTGCTGTTTTGGTGGGTGATGTGGGGGGGAGGAGGGGGGGGGGGGGGAGGGGGGGGGGAGTGGCGGGGAGTGGTGGTGGGCTGCCATGGCTATGGGGAGACGTGCACCTATATCTTTGAAGGTGATCGCTGCTAGGGTATGGGTTTGGTTGGGCACATATTGGCAAACGGTTGGGAGGGGGGGGTTATGAGGAGACATTCGTATGGTTATGTGGCATGTGGCATGGGTCATGGGGCATGGGGCATGTGGAATGATGGGCCAAATCGCATGGCGCATGGGGTATGTGGCAAAGAGGAAGGGAAACATAGGCAAACGGCTGAAAGTGGCCATTCTGCATGGGGCATGGGTCCTGTGATCTGAATGCGCTAATTGCGCTAGCTCTGGACTCGACCCGGCAAAGAGCGTCACACATGCACGTTTCAGGGTCCGCTGGAAGCGAGCAAGCGCTTTCGAATACATGTGCGATAGCTCTTCTGGGGGGGTGTAAAGAACGAACAGAAGGGAGAAAGAAAATAACCACTCTTGCCATTCTCTCAATCTCCCTCCTGCCTCCTTTCCTTTCTCCCTCTCCTCCCCTCCTCCTTCCTTTCAGACGTGGCAGTGAAGCTTGCACGCGCAGGCTATGCGCTGGTGGGAGTGGACTACGAGGGCCATGGGCTGTCAGCCGGTCGTCATGGCTACATCCGCAGCTTCCCGTGCCTTGTGGATGACGTCATTGAAGTCGCCCGCCGCGCTAAAGGTGGGTGCACTTGCCAACAGGTTGGCATGGGTGAGTTGAAGGGACGAAGCATTTGCCAACCGAAGAAGATGCTTTTGAGAATTCTCAAAAGCGCCCGCCGTGCTAAAGGTGGGTGCACTTGCCAACGGGTTGGAATGGGTGGGTTGAAAGGACGAAGCATTTGCCAACCGAACAAGACGCGAGATGGTTGGATGACTGTGTTAAGTGTGGACCGTAACGGAAGGTGAGTGTGGTAAGGGAGGTAGTGGGGGTGAGTGAGTGAGGCAGTGCATGCTAGGTGGGTAATGTTGCAGTGTATTCTTCTGCTTAATTTCCAAAAATGGACCTGATTGTTTGTACCATTTCTTTTTTAAAGGTGGAGCGGGGAAGGAGGGAGGGGGGAGGGAGGGGGGAGGGAGGGGGGAGGGGGGGGGAGAGGGGGGAGGAGAAGGGTGGTTTGGCAAAACTCCCTGCCAATACTATTTTCCTCCTGTTCTTCCTCACCCTCCTTGATCGCAAGAACTGCTCTTTGTTCCCACACCCCTCCGTTCTCACCCGCAGCAAACCCTAGGTTTGCACATCTGCCATTCTTTGTCTATGGCGAGTCCATGGGAGGTGCTGTGGCCATTCAAGTCGCACGACGAGACGCCAGCCTTTGGAATGGTGCAATTGTGGTTGCACCTATGTGTAAGGTTGTTATATGTGCAGTGTAACCCACTATGTGTAAGGCGGAACGGAGATCACATAAACGGGGTGGTCATTCACATGCCATGTCCTTCAGGGTCCTGACTCCCTGGAATGAAGCAGTGCTCACGTATGAGATTAGTAGACTATGTATAAGGTCAGTGGATGCTTGTGCCGTGTGGTCCAGTGCCGATGAGTGGGGTGAGGTGCGGTGCAGTAGTGCTGTTTGCAGTGCGGTGCAGTAGTGCTGTTTGCAGTGCGGTGCAGTGGTGCTGTTTGCAGTGCGGTGTAGTAGTGCTGTTTGCAGTGCGGTGCAGTAGTGCTGTTTGCAGTGCTGTGTAGTAGTGCTGTTTGCAGTGCGGTGCAGTAGTGCTGTTTGCAGTGCGGTGTAGTAGTGTTATTCTCAGTGAAGTGCTCAATGGTGAAGGCCCATGGAGAACTGCAGTTCATCCGTCTCTCCTCTCTATCTCTCTTGTTCTCGCATAAGTCGTCCCTCCCCTGTATCTCTCTTTCTCCCCCATTCCCCTTCTTTCTCCCCCATTCCCCTTCTTCCACTCTTACCCCCCCCTCCTTCATCTAACAACCACCCTGCGTCCTCCCCTCTCCTTTTCGTCTGTGGACTTCATTTTCATTTACCTCCCCATTGCTTCCCCCCTCTCCCCCCGCCCACCACCCCACTCCACTCACTCTCCCAGGTATCCAAAGAGCTCACCCTCCCTAGACCAATGATCTTCATTTTCACCTGTCTCGCACACGTCTTTCCTACCTGGAAACTCCTGCCAGTCAGTGCCAACGCCGGCAATTCCTTTAAGGTGAAATCCGAAATTTTATTGTTTTATATAAAACTGCCATAGACGTTTCACTGACGAAAATGTTCAAATTAGGCACGACTCTCAAGTTTTACAGGCGATTGAATGTTGTCTCCTTGAATGCTTTTGTCATCTCAAGCATGAGTGATGTGTGCACGTGTGCATGAGAGCATGTGTGCATGAGTGATGTGTGCACATATGCATGAGAGCATGTGTGCATGAGTGCATGAGTGCATTTGTCCATGTGTGCACGTGTGCATGTGTGCATATGTGCACTTGTGCATGTGTGCACGTGTGCATGTGTGCATGTGCGTGTGTGTGCATGCGTGCGCGTGTGCATGTGTGCGCGTGTGAATGTCTCGATGTCCCGGCGTGGCAGGTGGCTGAGAAGAGAGAGAGGGCCGACAGTCACCCCTTCGCATATCACGACCCGCCTCGACTGGGCACAGCATTGCAGCTCTACAGGACCACTCTGGACATCTGCGCACACATGGAAGAGGTGACACATGCTCTGAAATTGTGTGTGTGCGTGTGTGTGTGCGTGCGTATGTGTGCGCGTGGGGTGGGTGGGGTGTGCGGGGGAGGGGAGGAGAGGTTGCGTACATGCTTGCATGCATATGTGTGCGTGTGTGCGGCGTGTGAGTGTGTGCGCGTGCATGCATATGTGTGTGTGCCTGCCTGCCTGCCTCCAAGCCTACCTGCCCGCCTGAACGCTTGTCTGCCCTTCCTGCCTTCCTGCCTGCCTGTCATGGTTTTGTGCTGAACCATCTCGCCTCCGTTTCTCCTTGTGGCAAGCAGGTGACGGTGCCCCTACTGATCCTGCAAGGAACAGAAGATAGGGTAGTAGACATAGCAGCCGTTCGCGACCTCTTCATTCGAGCGCGCAGCACAGACAAGGAAATGAAGGTGTATGAGGGCAGCTGGCACGCCCTCACGTGTGGAGAACCTGATGATGTTGTTGCCAAGGTGGTCCACGACGTCTGTAACTGGTTACATGCCAGGAGCTTGCCACCCAGTGCTGTGGTTCCTGTTGATACGCTGGACGGTACTGTGCCGCCCGTTAAGGAGCAGACAAATGGCAAGGTGAAGGCTTGGGATGTGTGTGGCTAATGGGCCAAATGAGCAAGTGGGTTGACCCCAAGGTCCAGTTGCACAGGTCGACTCATGTTAGAGAGAGTGTTATTCGGGTAGGGAGTGGCAAAGATAAAAACAAGGGTTTGTGGTCAGGGCCAAGTCTGGGTTGTTGAGTATGAGCACCTTTTTTGCTATTTAGTTGAAGCAAAAAGTGTCTTCGTAGCATATGCACAAGCAAAAAAAATCACAGTACCATGTTTATTCTACTTCAGAGTCCGTGTAATAGTGGTGCGCACATCAGCACTGCCCCAATCATCATCATCTAGAGAGGGGCTTATCATTCTGCCACGCAATTGAGATCCATGGTGGACTAGGGGGGCTATTCTGGAACATACGTGGGAACCATGCATTCCCTGCACGCAGCCGGCATTGAGGGAACGGCGGAAACGGTTAGGAGAGGCGCTACAGGAGTCTTTCCTCATTCGTCGGCGCCGCGCGTCCATATCTCAACATCGTCCTCAGCAGGGTTGACAGAATTGGTGTCGCCACCCTCGCCGCGAGGCTGGCTCGCATCTTGAGCATCGGATTCTGGCGCACGACGATCGGGGGTGGTGCTGATGCAGCACAAGGCGGCAGGGGGACCTTCGTTGAACTCTTCATGCGTGGCTTGGGGAGTAGCTGATTCCGCCATCCGCTCACGAGCAAGGCTTAAGTCCTGCTATATCCATTCACGGGCGAGGCTCTCAATCCGATTCATAGCGTTTTGAAGTCGGGATGTTCTGCGCAGGAGGGGCTGTAACAGGATGTAGCAAGGGGCGTACTTCAGTTAGGGTCGGACGCATGATTGATACTATGAGATAATATTAATGGAGAACCATATTCAAATCAACAGAGTTGGTATAATGATTTTCACGCACAAAAATAATGTACTCATCAAAAACAAGTCGCCTGTGAAAGTTGGCATTGATGTCCCTGGCTAAGTGGAGGTCGGCACCTCCATGCCGGCCTGCACGTTGACATTGATTGCTCCACCGACATCGACTGCATGCGGGTCAGCAGCGGCGGTGTCTTTGTTATGCAGTTCCATGTAGGGCCATGTCAAATGTTATAGCCTCTAGTGGGTCATGCTATATGGGGTACAAACAGTTAGGGTTAGGAATATGTACCCCAAAGCAATCAATGCAACACATTCCGCTGTAGCTACTTTCTGAGATGGTATCAGCTAGGTTCCTCGCTCCTAGGCCCTAAGTTAGTTCCCTAGCTCATGCCAGCCACGCCAGCGCGCTAAGTCCTAATCCGCCAGCCAGCCAGCCAGCCTGCTGCCCCCTAGCGCGCCACGCCGCCGGTCGACTTGCAGCGCGACCCGTCCCCTAGCCATCGCGCCACCCTCCCGTAGGCCAGCGCGTCGCGCTGCCCGTAGGCCCGCCCGCAGGCCCGCGTCTCGCGCTGCCCGTAGGCCCGCCCGCAGGCCCGCGCGTCGCGCTGCCCGTAGGCCCGCGCGTCGCGCTGCCCGTAGGCCCGCCCGCAAGCCCGCGTCTCGCGCTGCCCGTAGGCCCGCCCGCAGGCCCGCGCGTCGCGCCGCCCGTAGGCCCGCCCGTCGACCCGCCGAGCCGCCCGTAGGCCCGCGCACCACGCCGCCCGTAGGCCCGCCCGTCGACCCGCCGAGCCGCCCGTAGGCCCGCGCGCCGCGCAGCCCGCTCGTCGACCCGCCGCGCCACCCGCAGACCAGCGCGCCGCGCCTACCGCCGGGCAGCGCACTGCGCCGCCCGCCTGTCCACATGCCGCGCCACCTAGCTGCCTCCATGCCTCCACGCCTGCTCACGCGTTACTGATTGTCTCCCCCCTCCTGCGGCTGGTGGCCGCGCGCTCCCAGTTTCGCCCTCTATGGCGACCTCCGGAGTACTTCGTTTTGACCCTGAAGGGCGACCTATAGATTTTAGCACGTGGCTTACGCAGGCGCAGCGCCACCTTAAGAGCCAGCGGCAGGATGGCGTGCACCTGTTCGCACACGCGTCCGGCGCTCAGACCGCCCCTCCACAGCCTCAGCCGCTGCCCACTACTCCACCGCCTACTTCTGAGCAGGAGGCCGACCATCAGCGCCAGCTCCTCGCTCGCGACGTGTGGGAGTCTCGTGACGCCGCTGCCTGCCTCGCCCTGACCGACCTTCTCCCGCCGACAGAGGCAGTCCACTTCGCTCAGGTCGAGTCTGCTGCAGATCTGTATAAGGCTATTGTTGCTCGCTACTCCACTCCCTCCTCTGCTTCGCTCAGTCGCCTCCTCGTACCCTTTATCTACCCTGACCTCGCCTCCTTTGAGACTGTCTCTGACCTCGCTACCCACCTGCGCTCCCTTGACGCTCGCTTTCGCGCTGCTTGCACTGAGGACCAGCTTGCCCTTGCCCCGCCCCCTATGTGGCTCACTATTCACTGGCTAGTCACTCGCCTCCCTGACCGCCTAGCCACAGCCCGCGACGCGCTTCTTCTGAAGCACCCCACTGAGCTTACCATCGATCTTCTTGAGACTGCTCTCTCGAAGATCGAGAGTAACCTCCTCGACGTTGCCTCTGCCTCTTCCGCGCCTCCTCCTCGTCTTTTTGAGGGGTGTGCGGTACCACAGCTTCCCACCTTCTCTGCCTCCCTTGCCACTCCCACGTCTTCTGCCTCTGAGGAGACGGCGGCCGTTTCTGTCTCTGGCGGACAGAAACGTGGCAAGGCTGGTAAGAGAGGCGGGAAGGGCGGCGGGGGTACTGGAGGTGGTGCGGGTAGTGGCGGTGGCGGTGGAGCAGGTGGTGGGAGTGGTGGTGGGGGTGGCTCGGGACCTGACGGCCCTCCTTTCGACGGTGGAGTTTTCACTGGTGGTGAGGGGTTCCAGCAGCAGCAGCAGCAGTCGCCTCCCCAGCAGCTGCCACCCCCTGGACAGCAGCAGCGGCAGGGACAGCAGCAGCAGCGACAGGGCCAGCAGCAGCGCCCGCCACAGCAGCGCCCGCCACAGCAGCAGCCGCAGCAGTGGGGCCCTCCACAACAGTGGGGCCCTCCGTAGCAGTGGAGGTCTGTGGGTCCCCCGAGCACTGGGCGCAGTGGCGGCCCCTCTAGTCGGGGACCTCGCTCGTCCGGCCGCGACGTTGGTCCCTGTGAGTACTGGATCCTTACGGGTCCTCGTCGGGACTCGTACTGTGGCCACCCCGACCACTCTGCCGCACGCTGCTTCAGTCCTCTTGACGACCTCTACCTCTTGCACCACGGCCCCTCCGCTCCCCCGCCGCCACGCTGGGGGACACTTCTTGCTCGTGGTATTGCTGTCTTTGATATGACTATGGATGATGCTAGGTCTTATGCCATGTATGCTGATGTTGACTATAGTGCTCCTGGATCTGTGTACTTGCCTGTACCTAGCTTAGGATCTTTGCCTGTTGCTAGAGTAGGTGCTAGTGTAGGATCTTGTTTAGCTACTAGTACAGGTACTCCCTCGGCGGACGCGTCTCTCTCCTTCACACTGGACTCAGGAGCGACGCAGTGCTTCTTCCGCGACAGCACGACTCTCTCTCCGCTCCCGGCGCCAGTCTCTATAGCAACGGCTGATCCCACTTCGGGACCGGTCATTGCGACTCACGCCACTACTCTCCCGTGCCCAGCTGCCCCTTCCGGTTCCCTGACTGGCCTCCACGTTCCTACGTTCTCTAGGAACCTGGTTGGTGTGGGCCCCCTGGCGAGACAGCACGTCGGGGTCTGGGTTGAGCCTTCTGGTGACACCGCGGTCTGTGTGGACGGTGACACGTACGCCCCCTTGGCCACTTTTCGCCAGGAGCCGGGCTCCGGTCTGTACACCCTCCGCACCGACCCCCGTCAGGTTCCTCCGTCCCACCAGGTCGCCAGGTCCAGTCAGGTTGCTGTGTCCGGTCTAGTTGCTGCGTCTGGTCATGTCCCCGCGTCAGGTCCAGTTGTTGCGTCGTGCTCCTGCTGGTCGCTTGCTCACCCCACCGTTCTGTGGCACCACCGGATGGGGCACCCGTCCCTCCCTCGTCTCCGCGCTATGTCCAGTCAGCGTCTTGTCTTAGGCCTCCCCCGCGACCTCCCGCCGCTCCCGCCGTCCCCAGCTCCTCCGTGCGGTCCTTGTGTCCAGGGTCGGCTGCGCGCCACCCCTCACTCCTCCTCCCTTCGTCCGGCCACCGAGCCCTTCGAGACACTCCACTTAGACGTCTGGGGCCCCGCTCGCCGTCTTGGCCCTGAGCGGGAGAGTTTCTTTCTGGTGGTCGTTGACGATTACTCTCGGTACACCACCGTGTTCCCTTTGGCGAAGAAGTCCGACGTGACTTCTACGCTGATCCGGTGGCTGCTCGCCACCGAGAGTACTCGTCGTCGTCGTGTCAGTTGTCTCCACTCCGACCGTGGGGGTGAGTTTCGCTCCGGCATTCTCGCCAGATCCTGGTCATGGAGATCGCCCACACCTCCATGATCCACGCCCGCGCGCCCCATTTTCTGTGGCCCTACGCGGCTCGGTACGCCGCTCACCAGCTGAACCTCTGGCCTCGCGTCTCTCGGCCAGGGGCTTCACCGACCAGTCTTTGGACAGGGTCCCCTGGTGTTGCGTCGAGGTTTAGTGTCTGGGGCTGCTTGGCTCTTGTCCGCGACACCTCTGCGGACAAGATCTCGCCTCGCGCCGTCCCCTGTGTCTTCCTTGGTTTCCCAGAGGGCTCCTCTGACTTCACCTTTTACCACCCTCCCTCCCACCGGTTCTTTGACTCTCGTGACGTCCGTTTCGAGGTCTCCCGGTTCCCCCCCCTCCCCTCTTCCTGGCTCCAGCTCCTCCTCCTCCCGCCCCTGCTCCTCCGGTACCCCCCCCTGTTCCCGCTCCGTCTGGTGTGTCCCACGCTACTCCCCCCCCCTCGGTACCCCCCCAGGTCTCTCCTCCTTCCCCACAGTCGTCCTCACAGCCTCCGCAGCAGCCGCCAGCACTTCCTTTACCGGCCACTGCGGACTCTGAGGGTGTTGGTGCTCGAGGTGAGGGCTCTGGCGGTGCTCGCTCTGGGGGTGCTGGCG